TTTCTCTTTAAAAGAGATATTCACCATATTGATGTTGATGAATATGTGGTAGTACAAAATTAATTGAGAGCTCAAGAAGAGCCAATTATTACTATTTTGGAGAAACACAATTGATTACCAATAAGGTATTGTGTTGTGGTAAGTCTCAAAGAAACTTATTTAGTTTCCAAAGTATACGCGAAAGCGGTTGATTATATTGAGACTATAAATAAAGGAAAGATTTAATATCTTCTATTACTACAACTTGTAGCTGGGTAATATGTATGTGAAAAGCTACCCGTTTTATTCTCCAGTTTGTACTACACAAATAAAAGAATACCACAATAAAGTGGATATTTATTGATATAAAAACCCATATCATAATAAACTTGGAGTTTATTGATAATTGCACACGTCATGGTGTAAATCTGAAATTTATCAATATTGATAATTTATTCGGTTGGCATAACTAGTTTAGCCATATCAATTTAAGTATGATGTGCAAAAATAAAAGAGAATTCATATGGGTAAATATTAAAGAACTAGAAAGTTCTTTACGAATTCTCTTACGTTGCTTGTTCTCATTAATTAATAGATCAACTAAAATTGGGATTGAATCCCATGAATGCTGGAAATATCAAAGGTGAATATGGGCCCATTCACCCGCCATGTATACCACATAAGATGCATCTATGAGATGGTTACATGTGCAATTATTATTGACCTGCAACCTGGTGTTTGCAAGGTAACTTGCTCAATAATTTAATATAGAGCATAATTTCCAGATTTTTTTATTCAAGATAGTTCATCTTGATAAGTTGGTTTACATCACAGTTGGTTTAGCAAAATGAATTATTGAGTGCCTCCACTTAATAGCTAAACTATTGCTTATGAGAACAAAGTTATCTATATCAGTTTGATATACGTTATATACCAAAGTATATTACATTCTCCCTTCACAAGTGGTTCATGATCAGGAACCAAATAATTCCATCTTATTATTATTGATGTGCGGTGTATATTTGATTAACACCATAACGCACAAAGGTGGATTCTCAAAGTTGAGGAAACAATTTTCTAACATGAGAGGGAGACATGATAAACAGTTGAGAAAAAGTTACATGGAATGAATTATCATTTATACATCTAGATCCTCGAATAAAATAATATGAACTTGAAGTTCATAAAGGATAATTCATCTGCAATATATTACAAAGCATGCAAGACGCATTTGCTGACCCAAAGAAAGTAACTATATTCTCATTGCAAATGCTCCTATTAAGTCCTAGAAGGACAAAGTCTATGGTACGCTTAAAGCGTATAGACAATGGTTTCAAATAAACTTCTTGATAAAGAAGATGAGCAAATGATCAAGATGATCATAATAAAGGAGGCAAGTGATCTAGAAGATCACATGACATAACACTTCATAAAATCTCTTGAGAGATTCAGGTACCTGAATATATGAATGAAGAGATCTCTATGTTATGTCTTTATGAAAAATAAGGAGGTTGGAACCGATATAAAATGTTTGTCGACGGCATCTATAATAGCGCTAAATATATATGAGGATCTTAAGTCTAGAGAAACAATTCAAATAGAATTGGTTTCATATGAAAGACATGTAGTTTTGGACATGTAATTCAAACACTTGAAAGTATAAAGTCAATGGTATGTGCAATCAGTTTTCGATATCTTATATGTCTAGCATGACATGAAAACTTGATATGCATCTAAAGTCTATTATATGGCTTATATGACTTAACAATCCCTGAAGGATTTAAATTGCTTAAAGCATATAGAATTCATGGTCATGAAGTACTACATCCTCAGTGCAACTTGTGCACAATGTATCTTGCTATAACTATATGCATGATAATATGATAGCAAGAGTTTTCACCTCTATGTGAAGATATTGAACTGACGATTCCAACAAGATCATATGAAGACAATTCATCTCTATCAAGAATGATGATTTCAAGGTGCAATATATTCATTCAAGTTAATATGCCTGATTTGTTCATCAAATCTCTACAAAAGATCTTTTGAAGATGATGCACAAGATTGGAATGCAAATGCTCAAGGATGTGAATTGATGCTCTCATCATGGGGAGTTAATACGCGTTGTACTCTTTTTCCCTTACAAGGTTTTGTCCCACTGGGTTTTCCTTGCAAGGTTTTTAACGAGGCAACCAAAAGNACTTGAAAGTTGAAACTTGAAAGATATCACTTGATACTTGATAGTTGATACTTGATACTTGATATTAACAATATTGAGAGAATAATATAGAATATAGATAGAATATTAGAATGCAAGAGATTTGAGAGAGAAGATTGATTTTTTGTGGGAAAAAATGAAGAAGAATGGGGGGTATTTATAGTAGAAAATAGGGCCAAAGTGTAATTTAATAAACTTAGGGGTTATATTAAAAGTTTTGGGGGAGGGGGGGGGTAGGGGTGTTTTGGGGGTGTAGGGGCTGTTTGGACCGTTGGCAACGGCTATTTTTGCCATTTAAGCCGTTGCCCAACGGATAGTTTTTAAAAAAAAAAAAACTGGCGGGACGCGGGACGGGACGGGACGAAACGGGACGAAATGGCCGTCCCGTCCCATCCCGTGTCCCGTTTAACATTGGCCCATCCCATTTAACTTGAAGCGGGACGGGACGGGCCGTCCCGTCCCGTTGGACAGCCATAGGGTCAGGTTCCAAATAATTCTATCTCATTATTATTGATGTGCGGTGTATATTTTGATTAACACCATAACGCACAAAGATGTGTTCTCAAAGTTGAGGAAACAAGTTAGTTTTTCTAACATGAGGGGGAGACAAGATAAATAGTTGAGAAAAAGTTACATGGAATGAATTATCATTTATACATCTAGATCCCCGAATAAAATAATATGAACTTGAAGTTCATAAAAGGATAATTCATATGCAATTTATTGCAAAGCATGCCAGACGCATTTTCTGGCCCAAAGAAAGTAACTATATCTCACTGCAAATGCTCCTATTGGAATAAGTCCTAGAAGGACAAAGTCTATGGTACGCTTACAGCGTATAGACAAATCGGTTTCAAATAAACTTCTTGATAAAGAAGATGAGCAAATGATCATAATAAAGGAGGCAAGTGATCTAGAAGATCACATGACATAACACTTCATAAAATCTCTTGAGAGATTCAGGTACCTGAATATATGAATGAAGAGATCTCTATGTTATGTCTTTATGAAAAATAAGGAGGTTGGAACCGATGTAAAATGTTTGTCGACGACATCGATAATAGCGCTAAATATATATGAGGATCTTAAGTCTGAAGAAACAATTCAAGTAGAATTTAGTTTCATATGAAGACATGTAGTTTTGGACATGTAGTTCAAACACTTGAAAGTATGAGTCAATGGTATGTGCAATCAGTTTTCGATATCTTGTATGTCTAGCATGACATGAAAACTTGATATGCATCTAAAGTCTATTATATGGCTTATATGACTTAACTTATATAACAATCCCTGAAGGATTTAAATTGCTTAAAGCATATAGAATTCATGGTCATGAAGTACTACATCCTCAATGCAATTTGTGCACAAATGTATCTTGCTATAACTATATGCATGATAATATGATAGCAAGAATTTTCACCTCTATGTGAAGATATTGAACTGACGATTCCAACAAGACCATGTGAAGACAATCCATCTCTATCAAGAATGATGATTTCAAGGTGTAATATATTCATTCAAGTTAATATGGCTGATTTGTTTATCAAATATCTACCAAAGATCTTTTGAAGATGGTGCACAAGATTGGAATGAATGCTCAAGGATGTGAATTGATGCTCTCATCGGGGGGAGTTAATACGCGTTGTACTCTTTTTCCCTTACAAGGTTTTGTCCCACTGGGTTTTCCTTGCAAGGTTTTTAACGAGGCAACCAAAAGGCGTATTGTTAGATGTGTGTACTCTTTTTCCTTCTCTATATTTTTTCCCACTGGGTTTTATATTAGTTAAGGTTTAACGAGGCACATTATCTGTTGAATAGACATTCAAGGAGGAGTGTTATAAATAAAATTTTATTTATGGTGAATGTCTATATTTAGAGAGATTCTAGGGTTTATTACTTGGTGGCTAAGTCACTCTCTTCCTATAATTAGAGAGTTCTATTCCATTGTAATTCATCCCAAATCAATAAGAATTCTCTCTCCCTACTTTTCTCTGCAATATTCTTCCTCTTCTTTTATTGTTCATAACATAAAAATACAAGGTACGTTTTGATGTTTGTCTGAACGGCCAAGTATGCGGAATAGGTTGGTCAATGATATAGGATGAGACTTTTTTGTTTCTCGGTGGAAATTAGGATAAAAACTTATTAGCACGCGATGTTTATATAGTTCAATATTACTAATTAATATATATATTTTCATCTTAATTTATGACTTACTAATAAGAAATAATTTAATTTGATGTAAAAAGGGATAAGTTAAAAAATTTAAAGAGATTGCAGCTAGTCGAAATTGAACCAATGACCTCATAATGGTGTTGAACCCCCTTGACCATTAAGCCATACTTTTGAGCTGTGTGAAATATATATATATATATATATATATATATATATATATATATATATGTATATAAAAACCAGATTTTGCCTTATTTACACAATGTAATTTTTCGGCGAAGGGGTTCGGGTGAACACCCTTGCGCCCCTAAATCCGCCCCTGGTGGGGGATATTGATTACTACTTAATATAGTTTGATGTAAATAGGGATGGAGCTAAGTTTAATTTTTTTATTTCTTTTAGGTAAGTTTAATTTCTTACGAAATTATTGTATGGGATATTTCGAAAAAGCGACAAGTGTTTCTTAGCTTCAGAAACTATTGTGTCGCTAGTAGTAGGTTAAAGCTTTATTTTTGTTAAACGGAAAAGCCAATGGAAAAATAAAGCTTGTATATTGCGTTAATTACTGCATGGGGGTAATAGTTAAGAGGGAAGACTACGTGAGAGAGAGAGAGAGACGAATAGTCAACCATTACCGGTGGCGCCGGTCAATGGTTGATGAACCTCTCTTTCATTATTTACTTCGCCTGTCTTGCACCTATTCTTCACTCCTCGCACTTCTCTTTCTCTCTCTTGCTGTCTCCTTGAGGAAAACTTTTGCAGGTTTTCTGATCAAAAGCTTGGTCAACAACAATGGCAGTACGTTTTTTTATTTAATTTTCTGTCTTCTCCTTTTCTGATTTTGGTCAAGTTTTCACTTTATTTTTTTTGTTTTCCCTGATTTTGTTGCTTGTTCCGATAGTTAGTCTAACCCCTTTCCCACAGCATTCTATTGGAAGTAGTCCAAAAATTCTTTGACGGAGAAAATGGTGATGCTCTTTAACTGATAGTCTAGCACTCTAGCTTTCCCTAATCCCCTTAATATATTCTTTAGCTTATGTTTGTGTCTTTTATTAATACACAATTTGCTGTATATGGGTACTCACAACTCATGTTACCTTCTTTAACCCCAACTATACAGCCCTCCTTTCCCTAGTTTTATGCTCCCTCGGGGCCAGAAAGGCCAGGCTTTGAAAATAGTTACTCTACCCTACGTCAAAGCAAGAGTTTGCTTCCTTTCCGTAGCAGGATCAGAATTGAGTTACATCTCTGTTCTCTAACTTATCTCAAATATTATTTGTCTCAACAAATTAAATTTATTCCATAAAATTTTTTTATTATATGAAAACAAGAAATACTTATTTTCTAATTCCTTTAGATTCACCCTTACAGTTCTAGTTAGTGAAATGTTAACTGAGACAGTTAATAAAGATAAATGATATTTTGGACAAATACTCTTATTATTAAGACTATTTAATATGGTAAATACTTACCCACACCGGGTGTTTACACCAAACTATATTAACTCACTATGGTTAATTAATTTAATTAGATGAGAATGTAAGTAATTTACCATGGTTAAATGATTGAAGTCCATATGCAAGACACATGTCATATATCTATTGGTTCGGTGTAAATACCCGGTGCGGGTAAGTTATCCTTTTTAAAAGATGTGCTAAAGATTTAAATTATATAAGATAAAATGGAACAGATGGTGTGAATACCCGGTGCGGGTAAGTTATCCTTTTTAAAAGATGTGCTAAAGATTTAAATTATATAAGATAAAATGGAACAGATGGAGTACCTTGGCGGTTGTAAATAAGTTGAGGTTTAAGCCATAGTAAATCCTGTATTTAATGTGCACTTATGTTGATTGGTATGGTAGGTTATATTTCACGTCGGAGGATTAAGGGAGTAGGCCATGGTTTTAATTTACTTACTTTATTTAGCAAGGGCCCGTTTGTGCTTCTTGTTTCCTTGTGTGATGTCAAATTATTAAATAGATATAGCTCCCAATATTGCTCACGCACATTTGTATTCATTCATCTCTGTGTATGCATTTGTACTCATTCTATGCCGTGTTTTGTTTTTTTGCTGATCTTTGTTCAATGATTTTGACAGTCAAGTTTGAGTTCAACTTTGTAAAGTGCCTAGTAAACTAAGTAATCAATTGCTAAATACACTAAGGTAGGAATTGATGCTAAGAGTTATTTATATAATTGGTAGAAATTGAAAGGAGCATACCATGAAATAAGCTTCCAAACATAAAAGGTCAAAAACAAATATGCTTTAAGTTTCACCTGATAGAAATAGATTTACATGCATACACAATATACTGAGCAAACTTAGTTAATGTGGCTGTGTTGTTTCCAGATCAAGAATTTGAGATTCTTTGTTGATATTGAGTCCCTAGTTAGTTTAATGACCTTTTGTCTCTATGGTGAAAACACTAATCTTTCTCCCCATTGCTATTTCTGTTCTAAGTTAAATAACCTGATCATAGAAATGATGTGGCTATATATCATACCCAATAGCAGCCTTCTCCTTTCATAAATTTCAAGCTGTAGTTCCTTCTATATGTCTAAGCCCAATGATGGGGACCAATACCTGTAGATTTTGCACAGTTATTTGCTTTTATGTTCCCTTTATTTGTCAGTATTTCATTTCAATTTGGTCTGCAATCTGTGGTTGAGTCTTACTTCTTTCGGATTCTTTTGTCCACTGATCTTCTTGAGGGTCTTTATTTTAGGGAATATACCCAGAATTTCTGAATTGGCTTCTCAGCAATGTCACCTGTTACTTATAACAATTCATCAAATGATGATCGTCTGCGCATTTGTTTAGATTCAACGCATGATTTGTTTCAAGAAGTATTTTAGCCTTATCGAATTATCATATGTGAATTTACATGTTAGCGAGGATCCTTGTGCTACACTTATTTCTTGTCCTCTTCTATGAATTCCAAATCTCATGTTTTAAGGAGCTGTAATTTTTTGAAGAGTTGCGTTCGACATTCTTGTCTTTCTGAATAAATAAAAACTGCATCTTGTCACTGTCTGTGATCACTGGCGGAAAATTGCAACCAAACACTTCGTTAATGTTTTCCTTTACTTGTTTCAACAGCGTCCAAATGTTCCGAAGTTTGGCAATTGGGAAAATGATGATAACACGCCCTATACTGTGTATTTTGAAAAAGCAAGGCAAACCCGTGGTACTGGAAAGATCATAAACCCCAATGATCCTGAAGAGAATCCAGATATGTTTCCCAATCTTACTCCCCCACCTCCAGCACCTTCTCGCGCTAGGCCTAAAGCACAAACAGAGGAACCAATTGGGCACGAGGGAGCAGCGGCTAAGCAAACAAGGGAACACAGACTGAGTAAAGAAGATGGTGATTTTCGGCAGTATGCTAATTCTCCAGCTCGTAACGAGAACACGGGACGAAGAGCTTCCAATGAGCATCAACGTGGTCGTGGACCAAGTTCTGGTCGAACTGGCAGACAAAGTGCGGGATCTGAACATAGCTTTGATAAATCACCACTGCACCCACATTATCAGGCAAAGGTTAATGCGGGAAGAGGTGTTGCATCTCCTGCTTGGGAAGGAAAGAATAATTCATATGATAGTAGCCATGGTACTCCTGGAAGATCATTTGAAAGTGCTCATGCTACTCCTGGGAGGTCCAAAATTAAGCAAGAAAGTGTATGTTTTCACCCTATTCTTTTTCATCTTGCTATATTAGAGTTTCATATTGCATTACTTGTTTATTCTTTGCTGCAACACCCCCCACCCCCACCTTTTTCATTCCTAGTGTGGCTTAGACTAGTAGAAGGCGTGAGAATACTAGACCACTGCTCAATGCTGGATAATCCACGTTCATCGGAAGACTGGGAAATGGGTCGAATAAACTCCCCTAGGGCCGGAAAAATAACAGGCGAAACTTTACTTAGATATGGCTTTGATTGGTATTTTTTTTTCCTTAGACATTGAAAAGGAAGGCGCCACGGCTCCACCCAAAGAGCCTTGCTCTGTCATTTATAAAACAGAAAAAGGCTAAGTAGTGAAAGAGCCTTCTCTAGTAGCAGCACTATCCTTAGTATAACTCTAGCTTCCAGCCTATACAAAAGTGGTCTGTCTGTCTGGCATTTTCTCACGTAGAGGACTGCTTATACATCGGCTCTCTCTTGTTGGGTAATTCGCCAAGGCGAAAGCAGCTCTAAAGCCGCACCATAATCTGGACATTGTAGGAAATTTACTCGGTGCTTCTATAATGTCAGCTTATAATCTTTTATGTTCTATCTCTTAGATGACACGTAGCCAAATTGATTTAACGACGACGTATATGTCTTTTACCTTGTATATATCCCTTTGATAACATATGGCCATTCAGCTAGAAAATAAATACTCCAACTTGAAGGTTGCATTTCACTTTTAAGGTCAAACTGCATTACTTTTGCTGTTTTAGAGGTATAATGATCCACACAAAAGTATCATCGTTCTTAAGTTTATTTTACTGGTTTCAAGTAGCATAGAAATTTATGCAACTATAATTCACAAGCTGTTGAGACTGACCTCAAACAGTCTGACATGACTTGAATTCGGATTATAGGAGTACTAATTTGTGCTTCCAATTGATACAAATTAATTTAAGTTGGTACCCTTCCTCGCAGCCTGATAGAGGAGCCGCAGTTCCAAGATTTGGGGAATGGGATGAGAATGATCCTCAATCTGCTGATAACTACACTCACATTTTTAACAAGGTTCGGGAGGAAAGACAATTGGGTACTGGAAATCCGTCAGGGGCACCAAGTAGAACATCTTACAACCCACAAAGGGAAGAAGAAAAGCGGATGGTAAAACACTTCCCCTCCATTGTCATGATCGATTCGTTTAAGAGGCAGATCTAGTACAGATTCCGTGGGTTCAATTGAACCTATCGTTTTTGACTCAAACTATGTATAAATATGAAAAAATATATTTAATTATACTTGTTCTGAATCTACTGACTTTAGATCCTGAATTCACTCTGGTTCTTATCTTCTTGTCTGTATTCTGCAGAAGTGCTGCTTTCCCTGGTAAAGAAAGGGGGGACCTTGATTTTTTTTCTGAAGATGTGAAGCTGCGACGGATATGTAAATAGCTCAACAAATTACTTGTGCAATGTATTAATTCATCTGCTTTACATGCTTCTTGTGGTGATAATATGAGATATATGCAGTTCCTTTTATTGTATTTTCTGCAGTTGTATTGTCTACTTGTAGTTTTTAATAGTGTAATTTTATTTTTCTGTAACAAACAGTGCTTGCAGATTCTTTTATGCACCATTGAGTGCTTTCTCTATTTTTTGTGTGTGAAGTTTAGTGTTACAAAGACAGCTCTTCTGCTTAGTTATTTGACTGTAATATATTTTTTTTGAGATTACTGCATTTCAAATACAATAATCACAATATTGTGTTAATATGTTCCTTAATAAAATTTATACATTTATAAAGTGCATACAAAACTGCAAAAGTATTACTACTTAAAAATCACAATGCTTAAGAATAAGTATGTTTAATAACTTGTCAAATAGTAATACTCAGTGGCGTATGTAGTGTTATACTAAAAGGTTCATCTGAACCTAATGTTTTCGATGTGCAGTATAAATTCATGCTAAATTGTAACGCATAGTCGGTCTAAACTCATAACTTTAAAAATATAATATGTTTAATACTAAGAACCTTAAAGGTTAAACTCATAGAGTTCAAATCATTGAACAATACACACTTTCATACCTAATTAATGGATTCAAGACACATGTTTTTTTATACACACTCTTCCCTTAACTATTGTCAAGTGATATGTATTGTTATTTATATTTAAAATGCTAATGCTATTAAATTATTTGATTTGATATGAACATCGAATGCAGATAAATATTTATGAAGGTTCCTTCCTCAAATTTCAAACTTTGAGTTAACATGAGACATTTTTTTAATCTATGTGGGGAAGAAGTTTCCTTTATGTAAACCAAGATTACCGTTTCTTCTTTTTCGTGTAACCACTTTACATTCTTCTTTTATTGAGTCGTATATGTACCTCTAACATTCCATTCCACTTTTAAAACTTTTTACCTTAATTCATTTATAATGATAGTGTCGAAATCAATATGCGCACATATACTATTTCAATGAGTATCTTTTACATACTATCAATACAAATGCTGGATGACTCCATCAATAAAAATAATTCACCTAATTTTGTATCTTCTGAGATTTAAACTTTTATTCTCAAGGTTGACAACGTAACTTCTTAACCATTAGGCAAACTCGTTGAAGACTTCCCTAACAAATCATTCAGCTTCTTGCACTATTTTTAAGTGTAAGATAGGAGTAGTTGTTTAGATATTAATTAGTTTGATAGAATTAAGTTCATAATATGGTAAAACAAGAAATTATAGTTTTTATTATAATAAAGAAGAACACCTGTACTTTGAAATCGATAGTCAACACAACAAATTGAACGAGTAAAGTTTAAATTGGAAAACACTTTTGATAGTTGGAGACTTGGCTAGTGTTTGGCCATAGATTTCCAAATTTATTATGAGAAATTTGATTTGGGTTAAGTTTGGTTTGAAGATGAAAACGTGTTTGGACATCAGTTTTCAACACATATTTCCCAAATTTATTTTGGAAAAACATGAAACATGACTTATACCCACAAGTTCTAAAGACTATCACAAATACCTAATAGTACCATTATCAATAACATTCATTATATTATCGCAAACCATAGTCCTGAACATAAATAAATTTGGTACAAAATTATCATTTTTATAATGAACTACATGATAAACTATCAGATGACCGAGAAGACGAAGCAACATTGTTACAAAATAATAAATGGTGGGCTCTTTTATAAAATACAAAAGTTTGGGGCAATTTTTTAAAAATGTAATAGTGATATTTTGATCCAAAACCAGCTATTGGGATTTGGGATTTTTCCAAAATGTAGGCAAAATCTATGACCAAATATGTGTTTGTCAAATAAAGCCCAAATTTATTTTGGCAAAATCTATAGCCAAACTGGTCCTTGGAGTTATATTTAGATATGAATTTTCACTTAGAAGGAAATCTACTGGACAAGTATGCACTATAAGAAAACTTTAGGGAGGTATATGCAATTAGCCCAAAAGAAAAAGATAGAAACAACAAAAGTAAAAGACAGTCACATGAGTTTAGCATTTGGTGACTGGTAAGTCAAACTTTTAGCGAAAAAACTCAAATTTTCCGCCAAAATTTGGCGGTCGTTCAAAATTCGAAATTCATATGAAAAAAGCAATAATAGTACAGTATATGCCAATTTCAGGATTTCAATTTCTCTCTCCCTCCTCCTCCGCTTTCTCTCCTCCCTCTCTCTCTCTGCTCCTATCCCGCTGACCATTAATGGCAATACCATAGCAGCACTGAATATCAGTTTCAGGTATTTCTTCCAAACCCTAATTCACTCTTCAATTCAATAATAGATCCGTTATCTTTTCTATTTTTTCTTTTCATTTCCTTTCACCGAAGGTGCAAAACCACCTGTCTTAAATCCCATCTGCTCTAATACAGTCCACAGAAAATAAGTCAAAATATTCCAGATCTGATAAATTTTGTTTCATGCGTTGTAAGCTGCGGCGTGGGCTAAAATTTTGTCTATTATTGAAATTTTTCTTAAGAAGTAGCTGATAGAGTTATGGTGAGAGAACAAAGTATTGAATCATTTTATACCAAATTGCGGGATTCAGCTCTTGCTTCAGCTTCCACGTCGCCGCTGCTAGTTTTCCCCTCAACATCTGATGTTGATTCGCTCTGTGCTCTCAAGATAATAGGACATGTCCTTGAATCTGATTCTGTTAGATATGCTTGTTATCCCGTTTCAAGTTTTAGAGAGATTCATAAGTACACTGGGGATAATCTAGGGTCAGCTGCTGACGAGCCTATTACAATTTTGCTGATTAATTGGGGGTGTCAAAGGGATCTTAAGAAGGTTCTAGAAATTGGTCCCTTAGCACGTGTTTTCGTAGTGGATAGTCATAGACCTATACACTTGCATAATTTGAGTGACCAGAATGACAGGGTTATTGTCCTATATACTAAGGATGATGAGGACCAGGCTGATTTAGCGTATGATTTTGATGTTTCTGCTTTGGCAAATGCTAGTGATTTGAATAGTGATGATGAGTTTGAAGAGGAGTCGGATAGCGAAGATGAAAATGATAGTGAGAGTGAGGAGGAAGATGGAGGTGGGATGAGGAAGAAGAGGAAGGTTTCTCAGGAAAACGAGAGTGACCATGTTAAGCTTTTTGGGAAATTAAAGAGGGATTACTATTATACGGGTACCTTCCATGGGAAGCCATCCGGTTGCTTGATGTATGAACTGTCCCATTTTTTGAGAAAGAACACGAATGCATTGCTTTGGTTGGCCTGTGTAGCTTTAACTGATCAGTTTGTTCATGAGAGATTAACTGATGAGCGATATCAAGCTGGGGTAATGGAGCTAGAACAGCATATCAATAGCTCAGGCAATTTAGACTCTATTACCTCAGTAACTCTCAAGGATGGAACGAAGGTCACGGCACCAAATTCTTCGAGGATTGCATATGAGTATGAACCAAGGTTGATGTTGTTACAAGAGTGGAACTTGTTTGATTCAATGCTGTGTTCGTCCTACATCGCAACTAAATTGAAGACATGGAGTGACAATGGGATTAAGAAGATGCAGCTTCTTTTAGCTCGAATGGGTTTTGCACGTGAGGAATGCAAACAAAAGTTTCAGTACATGAGCATTGAAATCAAGAGGAGAATGAAGGACATGTTTGAACAATATCTGCCGGAGTTTGGGCTCACTGATTTCTACTACAGAGGTTTCTTGTTGCTTCATGGGTATAGTTCAAAAGTTTCAGCAGCGGATGTGGTGTATGGGGTTACTGCGCTTCTAGAGTCATCTGTAGAGTCAGATGGCTCATGTGCATCCAGGCAGTTTGGGGAGGCGTATGATGCGTTGTCCTTGACAAAGCTTGAGAAGTTGGAAGCTGGAATGCGACAAGCTATCAAGGTTCAAAGGGCAATTCTTAGACAAGGGAGTGCAGCAATAACCAAGAAAGGTTCTATAAGAAGTGGGAGTAAATTTAGGTGGGTGAAGCTTGAAGACTCGGCAGATGCAAAGCTCCTGTGTCACCCTCAGGCTTTAACTAAATTTGGTTACTTTTTGATGGATGCTCTACGTGAGAAAGGAGCAAGGATGAAACCATTGATCTGTGTTTGCTACACTCAGGAACGAAGCAAAGTGTTGATTGTAGCAATATGTGGGAAGCCACGACTTGGTGCAGTCCAAGGAAATGCGTTTGGGCTTGCGTTCAGTAGTTCGGCTGAAGAGACAGGGGCTGAGTTCTTCCATGAACTGTTTGAATCATCATGGATAGTTTTGGATGCAGTTGCTGTCAATTCGTTCATGATCAGGCTAACAGAGAAACTTTTGTGATGAGGTTTACTTGAACATCCTTTCTTTTTACCATTTAACTGTAATTCTGTCCTTGATAGATGTTTTTGTTCACTGTGAGCAAACTCCCTTCCGTTGTACTCATCTAAAATAATTCGTTAGTTATGAATTTAGTTTACATGTATAACCAAGTTGGCTGCTTCTCTTCATTGTTTGTTACAACACTTATTTTCACTTGTATTTAGTTTGATGATGTAGAAGCTACTATCATTTAACATTATGCTTCTAACTCTCTTTGTATCCTTGCTGTATGGTCTTCTCACTATTAGATAGTGTACTTGCATAGTAAGTAATTTTCATGTATTTTAAAATGAAAAGCTTAGATTTCCTTGGAATCTTTAGATATTTTTATTATGTAATGCATCTTCCTGATTTTGTCATTCAATTTATTGTTTGACCTGATATTTTTGGGTGAATGAACCACTTACATTTACTTGGGCCTTTACTTCAGCATACTGCCAGTAGATGTGTGAGATTGTTGTCTTGAAATTCTTAATCCTTGTAATTCAGTCCAACTTTTAATGCAAAAGGTAGTACTAAGAAGAAGCTATTCCCCTCTCAATTTGGATGGCCTAGCTTGACTAGTAAAGATTAAGCCAATAAAATTTTCAAGAAGCTACTTTTGAGTTGAATAAAAGTAATAGTTGAAATGTATGAATGAAAAGAGTTTAAAAGATGATATAGGGGAAAAAACCCAGAAATAGTCCCTTAAGTTCTGGCCATTACTCGAAGCCATTCCTGTACTTCACATGGATTGTAAATAGTCCTTCAAGTATTCAAAGCTTAGTACACTTTGATCCTTGTGAACGTCCATTAAAAACTACTTGATCTATCACTGCAAGGGTCACCTTAGCTTTATCTCTGGAGCCTAACTTCCTTGGAGGCATCAGCACCTTAGGAGACATTTTCTCTCTGATCCTTCGGAGAGTGTTTTCAAAGAATTCAGCACATTGTGATCTCTGGATGCCAAAGCTTCTTGAGTCCTGCTGAGCCTTGCCTTTAGAGTTTAGAGGCTACTTTCTTCATAGCCTGCTCATTTTTACTTTTCACTTCAGAGGCTTCATTTGCCTTTATCTTCCTCTTATTCCTTTTCTTAAATTTCTTGGTTGTCTGCTTTGTACTTCCTTCCAGTTTCTCTTCTTATCCCCCTCCCCACTCCCTCCATTTCTTTCTCCATTTCCTTCATATTCATCTTCTTCCACTGTGTCTCCTAGGATATCTTTGTATCTCCACTGTTACCAATGGCATCCTTTTCATTTCTTTCACTATCACTGTTTCCATCTTCTCCTGTCATTGCATCTGTTTGATTATATTTGTTTTTTGTTAAGAATACTCTCCATTCTGCTTTTCAATTTCGGCTCTTTTCTTCTTATTCTGTTGTACTGCACTTTCATTGTCTCTGAAAATTTGTGATCAGACATTGCATTTTTACCTCCGTTTCAACAAGTCTGCTCTTAACCTCTAGTTCTGGAGATAACTGTAGTTATGTTAACATTGTTTGTTATCGTTGGTGCCATTTGTTTTTGGACAGCTTCAGCAGCATTGTCATCTTTGGAAACTGATTTATCAGTTAAAGCCTTGACCTTTCTTTTTGCGTGCAGATACAGTGTCACCAACTCTACAGCTTCGAATCAAAGCCTGTTAAAACTGAAAACATTGCAAGTATATAATGTCTGTTAGATATAAATGGTAATGTTGGGTAAGGACAAAATATGCACCAATTTTAAATAGTTGAAGGAATAATACTGCTCCATATAGTTTCAGGAAAATAAATAAGCAAGAGAGAGATGGCAATTGGCAAACACTGGTTAGATTTTGAATTCTCTCCCTTAATCTTGATTTTTCCTGAAGAATAAATCACACCACGTTTTTATCCTTGTTCAACTGTTAAGTGAGCTCAAGTATAAAGTCTGTTGTGTTTTTTTTTCTCCCGATTTTTATGTGCTCTTTTTCAACTTCATCAAATACTACCCAAACGCCTGTTCAAGGCATGAGAACAATTTCTCTTTTTACAGTGTAGCAAGAAATTCAACAAAGAAACTTTAGTAGCGGAAATAAGAATTCCTAATTTCAGTCAATTAATAATATTTAAGGAAATAAAGAATGTGTCTCGTAGGGGCGGAGCTAGCCCTTCGCTTACGGGTTCGGTCGAACCTAGTAGCTTTTGTCCAAACTTTATATTTGTCTTGTGAAATTCATAGAATATGTACGTATTATCTATCTCTCTCTCTCTCTCTCTCTCTCTCTCTCTATATATATATATATATATATATATATATATATTAAAGCAAGAAAGTTTGCATTGTGGTTAAGCCAAGTGGCAAGCTAATATAAAGCCACTTGGTAATTTAGGACAATATTTGTTATAGTATTTAATTTAAATTGAAAAGTAGGATATTTTTTTAATTTAAATAGAAAGATAGTAAATAAGATTCTTTTGAATCTGAATGGGAAGAAAGTTAAATTTGAATTGATTGATTAATTTATTAGGAAAGCTAATCAACACATAAATGTTTCAATTCAAACGAGAGGCTCACCGAGTGAGGCGAATTGTTCTAAATAATGAGAAAGAGTTTTTTGAAATTTGAGTTCACAGCAAAAACAATAGAAACAAAAACGTGTTTGTTACTAGAAATAAGACTAAAAAATCAAGGTTCGAACCCATAATCATAATTACCGAGTTGTTGGATCAAAACTTAGCTTTCGTAATGTGATCAATAGTGTTCACTTCTCCGTGTGCCCTAAGACGTTAATTCAATAAATTTAAGTATAACAAATATGAAATTAAGATTTATATTATATTAGTAGTGATAATAAAAGAGAGAAAATATAAATTGAAGCATCAACTTGTATGGTGATAAATAAAGGAAAATTTGCTTTGGTAATAGAGCATTTTCTTCACCAATCAGTAAACTCAAAAGATATAATATATATATATATATATATATATATTAAAGGAATAATTTGCATTGTGGCTAAGCTAAGTGGGTAGTGGCACGCTACTATAAAATTATTTGACAATTTAGGATAATATTTGTAATAATATTTAATTTAATTTAAAATTAAAAGATAATTTTTTTTAATTTAAATAGAAAGATAATAAATAAGATTATTTTGAATCTGAATGGAAAGAAAGAAAATTAGTCTTATAATTGTAACGACACGACCGGTTGTTTTGAGCTCTAGCGCGCCGTTCAGCGGTTTGAAGCCCTGAGTAACTTCACTTCATATATTATGACTTGCACGCATGGTCGGAATTGAATTCCGAGAAGTTCGGAGTTGATTTGGAAAGAGAATTCTCATTTCCGAAGCTTAAAGTTGAAAGAATTGACTAAGATTGGATTTTTGAGTAAACGACCTCGGAATCGGGATTCGAAGGTTCCAGCAGGTTCGTATGACGATTTCGGACTTGGGCATATGTCCGGATCGGGTGTTGGAAGATCCGGGAATGTTTCGGCACCTATTGTGGAAGTTAGCATTTTTGGAGGAATTTCATAAGTTTGGGTTGAAGTGCATTTCAGTGTTATCAATGTCCGTTTGGGATTCCGAGTCTAGTAATAGCTCCGTATGGTGATTTTTGGTATTGGTAGCGTGATCGGAAGTGAATTCGGAGGTCCGTGAGTTATTTTGGAGTCATTTGGCTAAAGATAGAGATTTGAAGGTTTTTGAGGAGTTTGACCGGAAGTGGAATTTTTGATATCGGGGTCGGATTCCGATTCCGGAAGTTGGAGTAGGTCTGTAATGTCGAATATGACTGGTGTGCAAAATTTGAGGTCAATCGAATGTGATTGGATAGGTTTCGACATCGAATGGTGAAGTTTGAATTTCTCAAGTTCATCAAGTTTGATTTGGGGTGTGATTTGTGATTTTAGCGTTGTTTGACGTGATTTGAGGCCTCGAGCAAGTCTGTAATGTGTGTTGGGACTGATTGGTATGATTGAATGGGGTCCCGGGGATCTCGGGTGGATTCCGGATGATTAACGGACTTAAAGGATGAGCTGAAGGGGGGTCTGGTTGCTGGTGTAACCGCTCTTGCGGAGGCTTCACCGCAGAAGCGGCCCCGCAGAAGCGCGGAAAAGAACCGCAGAAGTGGCTAGAAGTGAAGGGGTCAGGGGCCGCAGGTGCGAAGGATTTTTCGCACCTGCGAGATCGCAGATGCGGTCGAGGCGGCGCAGAAGCGGACTGGGGCAGCTGGGGGTTTCCCGCAGAAGCGGAATTTTAACCGCACCTGCGGAACCGCAGAAGCGGTCTAGTGACCGCAGGTGCGAAGGTCGCTGGGCAGAAGAGGATTTTATAAAAACGGAGATTTGGTTCATTTCCTCCCATTTTTCTCTTGTTTGGGAGATTTTTGGAGAGATTCAAGAGAGGGATTTCATCATCAAACATGGGGTAAGTTAATTCCACCCCTTGTGAGTTAACTACCTTGATTATATACGGATTTGAGCATGAAAATGGGTAGAATCTTGGGGTTAGAGGGAAACCTAGAAAATTCGTATTTTTGGATTTTGACCACGATTTTGGGCATGAAATTGAGAGTAAATTATATATTTGAGTTCGTGAGGTTATGGGTAAACTTTATCTTCGAAAAATTTCGGAATTCGGGCACGTGGGCCCGAGGGCAATTTTGTCAACTTTTTTGATCGGGGTTAGGAATTGTAATGAATTGGATTATTATGAGTAGTTGGTCATATATTAATGGATTTGCATAATTGTTGGCTAGTTTTGGAGAGTTGTGCATCAATTTGAGTCCTCGGAAGGGCGTGGAATGCCGGTTATGGAACTTCGGAGCAAGGTAAGTCTCCTTTCTAACCTTGTAAGAGGGAATTGTCCCCATAGGTGAGTTAATTGGTTATGTGCTCCTATTTGTGGGGGCTACGAACGCACGAGGTGACGAGAGTCCGCGCGTAGCTACTATTATGCTTAAGTCCGGGTAGTCTAGGACCAAAAAGCATATTTTACTTGTAATATTTGAAATTTTTTTGTCAAATTGAAATGCTTAAAACATATTGAAATGTATAAAAGAATTTATAAAAACTAGACATTCGTTTCTTGACTTTTAAAAAGAGAATTTTCCTTTTATTGGATGATTGATTCCCTGATGGTTTCTTGATTGCTGTTTGGAGTGTTTATTTAAATTTGACCGCGTCACATGTATGATTCGCGAGCGGGGTAATAGATGC